CATGCCTTCATTTGTTGAAGCAGTGGACCAGAGAATTATAGCTACCTGTTAAACAGAGTCCCACGCTTTGCTCTGCTGAGGCTGCGTGCTTCACTGAAGCCAGCAGTGATGAACATGCTGTTGCATTGGCACAATACTGAAACTGCGTAATTCTTTGGTTTACAAGAGAAATTTTTCTTTATCTATCATTCACAGAAGCTAAGGGGAAAGAGTTTAACTGAAACCATTACCTTCTGTTCTAACTCGTACGCAGTAATTCAGTTTATTCTGGGGTCAGCACAGACCCCTACTCAATGAAATAGCAGAAGTGTATGTCAGAGCGAGCAATGGTGAAAAGAAGAAGAAAAAGTCTTCCTCTTACATTTCTGTATTTCCTCACTTTTCATGGCACAACATGACTCGTACTGCAGGTGACAGAATCAACCTCAGAAGGAGCTGAGATTTGTTGCCATCTATCCTGGAAATGAAAGAAGATGCAAGCTCTAAATACAATAATAATGCTTGTTCATTTTAATTATCGTTTGGGGGTTTTTTTTTGTTTGTTTTTCATGTGAGGCTTTTTCTCAGTCCTGAAGACTTCAATTCTGATCTAAATATGGTGAGAGTAGGCAGGGACAAAAACCTATAGAGTCTCATCTTCTATTGTTTACTCCATTTATCAGTCAGAAGAGAAGCAGATTTAGGGATATTGAAGGTCTACATGCAGTGCAATCAAAGTCTTGCCAACAGTATTTCAGCTTCTTGGTGACCAGAAAAATGGTGTATTTTCTTCCTGAGTTATAGAAAACCATAAGGGATTTGTATCTGTTTTCTTCTATTGGCTAACTTACACTTAAAACCAATAAAATTATAAATATATTTTATAGAATAATGAAACAAAATAAAATAGATGTTTTGCAGTCTTTGGTGCTGTTCAGAAGACAGCTAAGATTCGGGCAGATTCTTGGATGCTGCCGATTTTGTTCCAGGACTGCTAGAAATGAAGAGTGTTCAGCACCTCCTGGGAACAGACTTGATCCTGAAGTCACTATTTATGCAACACTCCTATTCCAATCTGTGGGAGTTTTGCATGAGTTAAGTGTCAGTCACTTTGACATTTAGCCCAGCTGGTAGAATGATATACCATGAGTATCTGGTGCATTTTCATCTGAATTTCCTTTTCCACACAGTACTTTTTCTCCTGCTTTGCTACCCATCCTCTAGCTATTCTGTGAATGCTAAAGGCACCATGTGGATTCTAATTGTACCAAGTAGTGTATCTGGTTTAGAAAGCAGCCTTACAGGGAGCTTTCCTGCAATAACAGAAAGGTGGATAATGTCAGGAACGGAGAGGAAATGAGTGCAAAGAAGAGCCAGGAATTTCTGAATGTAACTTTACCACTAAAGCTCACGTGAGTACATCCCAACATGACATGACAAAGGGTCTGGGACAGCAATGTTTACTGTTGCTTCTGACTCAGAGGAGCATACCAGTTTTACTGCAGAACCCATGAGAAACTGTATCAGTAGCAACAGCTATAAGCTGAAGGAAGTCTTTGTTGGTAAATGTTGCTATATACATTTCTATGGTAAAGTGGTTATTTAGCTAGTTTGAAGTATCTTGGGTTTTTTTGGACTCCACAGATCCCATGGTATTGCACCATACTGGTTCAAGTACATACAGCAAGATACCTCAAAGAAAACCTGACAATATTTAAAACAGAATTAGTGTTCAGCAAACACTGTCTTCAAATTTTCTTAAAACTATCATCACTGGAAAATTCACATAGAACAGTAAACACTGACAAATAACCAAAGAGACTTTGATTTTTCTTTCCCAGCAAGTATTTCCAGGTTCTTCCACTTGCCAGTCTCACTGCCACAGACTGGCCCAATTTATTTACTTTTACCTTCTGATTTCCCCTCTCAATCTCAATGTTTTTTGTAATTTCTATATGTAATTTCTGCTCTATATGTAATTTCTTTGGCTTCAGATTAACGTAGCACTCAAGAATGCTTTTCTTGGAATGCACAAGTCCTATTTGTCTATGGTGGGATTGGTTATACACCCAAGCAATTTGTTTAGCCAGATTTTTGCTTCCACAAAACTATTTCACATAATAATTTATCCATGTGAAAAAGTGTGGTAATTTTCACCCAAATTACATCATCATCTTATTTCCTATATTGAAGAGGGAGAAGCTTACCATACATTAAATTTTTTAGTGCCCAAGCCTCACAATTTTTGCTTAATTCTAGACCATTCATTAGTTCTGCCACATTTCTTACAGGGAAATTCATGTATATGCACTTTAGAAAAAAAAAAAGAAAAAGAAAAAGGGGAAATGAGCTTTCAGGTGACCTGGAGAATTGCTCAGGAGCCTAGAAATATCTTCCATCATTTTCAACACAATCTGTGTTTGAAGTATCTATTAAAAGCTGGCAGACACCATAAAAGACCCAAGGGTGGCCCATTCCATAAATTACCTTGCTGGACATTTCAAATAGCTCTAAACAGATGTACTTGGGCATTTACATTCCACCCCAGGTCCATGTTTTAGCTCTCTGAGATCAGTTTTTGTAAAAGAGATAATGCTCATTTAGAGCAAATAGTTAGCATCCTTAATCATAAGGATCATGGAATGCTAGCAGTCTCTGACAAAAGGATAAAAATGGCCACCAAATTAAAGACACATAAGCATAACAATAATAAGCATCCCTTTGTTGTAGATTTGCCTGAACATTTTTTTGGCACAACTGCAACGCTTCACCCCAAATCACAGAGAATACTTTAAATTTCTGAGTCACACCTTGACTACAAGCTTTTATTAAAGGTGCTGAAACGCTCTGTTCAAGGGTGTCAAATATGATGATTTAACCCCCTAAAATGTGTTCAACATCTTGTATTTGTGTATGATTTAGTGAAGGCTTTAAAGTCCTACAATCTTCCTGGTTTGCAGGAGTTTATGAAGGCTACTTTGGAACTCTGTATCAATCTATTCATCAGCAGACTCCAGTGCATTTTAATGCTCAAGTTGATTATGTCTCTTGCACAGCAGGGCTATAAGATACATGTCTTTAAACTTTAGGATCAGATGCCATTGCAAAAAAGTTGATGTGAAAACTCTGATAGTCAGTCCCTAAAATTAAAACCACACATTTGATTCAGTTGTGCATAATCAATGAATATTAAGATATAACAATTACAAAATAAACAAGAGAGTTTGGCAAAACAGATTAAGACAACAAAAACAGAATAGATAGAAACCTTACCTGTATCCTGGGCTCACTTACAAAACTCCAGCAGAGTAGATCTCCAGAAAAGAACCTACCCCAGTCCCGGTCAGCTCTTAAATAGGTCTAGGAGAGGTGCAGCCAGGCTTCACCCCCTTCCAGCAGCCCAGGTGAATTGCCTTCACCTGTGCTCCTCTGGCTAACACATTGCTTGCCTCAGGTGGTCAATCAGAGGTTCAGGCCGTGACTCAGCAGTTCCCATACAAGTTGACTTAACTTTGTTGCTGCGGTAAAATATCCCATGACCAAAAGTAAAAAAGAAATACAGTGTAACCTTCCATCCATTAAGCAATTTATTAGTAAAATAGATGCTTTAAACAGGCCTATGTTAAAAGATGAATGCTTATTAAATAGAAGGTTATCTGAAGCACTGTACTAGAACTGATAGTTGCATGGAAAAAGGAAAAAAATAATGTATGAGAATTCAGAAGATTAATGAGAAAATGTGCCATTTAAAAACTTTTTCCTTCTCAGACACTTGCAGGAGCACTATCTATTTGTATTCCAGTAGTAAAAAGGATGAAATATAGTAATCAGATTGCAAAATCTTATTGATTAAGTGAGTCTTCAAACGCTACAAGAAGTGAGAAATACAAGCAACTGCTGCAATATGTCACCTGTATCAAACCTCCTTTTTTCATCTTTCCTTTCTGTGTCGTTTCCCATCAGTCTTATAAAACTGTACAACTGCATCCTTGTGTAAAGCTCACTTTACGTATATTGTAGAATCATAGTATTGTTTGAGTTGGGAGTAACCCTTGAAGGCCATCTAGTCCAATTTCCCTGCAATGAACAGGGATGCCTACAGGTAGATCAGGTTGCTCAGAGCCCTGTCCAGGCTGACATTGGATGACTCCAGTGATGAGGTATCCACCACCTCTTGGGGCAACCTGTTCCAGTGCCTCAACATCCTTACTGTAAAAAACCCCTTCCTTATATCCAATCTAAAGCTTCCTCTTTTAGTTTGAAACCATTTCTCCTTGTCTCATGTATCTATGTCACCAAAAAGATAAATCACAAAAGAATTAACACTTGTGTTTTAAAATAACTATATGGCAGAGAACTAAACTGGGTAGCCAATTTCTGCTGTTTCACAAAAATCTCACAGGCTGCCCTGCTCTGTCCTGCTTCATGCACCCAAGCAGGATGATAACCTGCCAGGTGGAAAAGAGAGTGGCATCCAGAATATGCATCTGTACCGTCTGTTCAGGCCTCTTCAGAAGAGAACTCCTGCTGATACACAGCAATTATATTTTAAACAAAGATATTCTGCAGACCACAAATTCCTGTAAATCTCCATTATAATTCACACAAACAAAATAGAGATGGAGGGTTATACAGATGGCTAGGTACTGCAACGACTTTCTTTAGCATATAAACATTCTCATACTGTTTGAGAAGACCAATTAGGAGCTGAAGTCTCATTTTAAGAGACTTTAAGCTTTTCTCCCCTACCACTTAAACTCTATTAAATATAAATACTTTATTCTCATTAGTGGCTGAAGAAAGGCTTTATTTTCCAATAAAACGACCCAGAAGTCATGAAATCTCAAAATTATGTAGTGTTCTTATCTCTAGTAGATATTGCCTTTTTTTTTTTTTTTTTTTTTTTTTTTAACTTTTCCAGAAATCTATCCTTGAAAGAACTCTGAGCCATAAGTGGAGGAATGCATTTAATACTCTGATACTCATCACTCACGTAGTTCTCCATTCTTGTTTATAGGATAATAACCAGTAATCCGCCATGCAGCATGGAAGTTCTGTGTGAGTCAGTTTCCTCAAGTCAAAGCTATTGGATGACTGATGCCCTGACTAATTAAACAACTAGCCAAGGTTTATAATTCTTGGACAAAACCTGTCCCACCCAGAAGGCTACACTGCCTCACCCATTGTGAGCAAAGTGAGTAGATTGGATCAGCAAAATATGCAGCTCTGAATTATAGGAGTATCTTTGGCTCAAATTGAAACTAATTCAAGAGACCTGCACATCATGGCACCTCATTTGTCCCCCAAAATAGAAGCTAATGTGAAATATGAATTTCAATATACAGACCTATGAAGATCTATGGAAAGCTTCCTCCCCTTCCTTAGATGAGGGATTTAACATACGTATCATGTATGCATTTGTCTTTATTCTTCCTCTTCTCTGCCACATCTTCAGGCACAGCAAACGTAAGGTTTACAGCACTGTCTACCTGTCATGGTTATGGGGAGCCACTCAGCTGCAGGAAGAGTCCACAGAACTGAACACTTGACCACAGTAGGTTTAAACAATTCCTACCAAAAAGTGAGCTTCAAACTTAACACAGAAATGTGCCAGAAAGTACAATTTACATCCTGAAGGGAAGAAGGAGTTGAAACAAAACCAATTTAGATCATTTAGGGATTTATTCTGACCTCTATTGACTTAATTTATAAGGTTTCTGCCTTTTTGCTTCCTCAACTACTGCGAAGTTCCTGCAAAGTATATTCAAGCTATCCAGAATTCTGTCTTTCACTAAGTATTTACATTCATAATCGACATGATGAAACATAAATTTGTTTAAAGTGCCACCATAACTCAGAGGCACTACAGTTTAAAATATTAAAATACCGCGTTGAAGATTTTTAAGCCTAAATTTGGATTTTAAAAATCTCAGGCTCACAATTCCCAATTAGACACATCAGGAAAGAGCCCAGTTTTCAGTAATTGGAAATGCTAATTTTTTTGTGAGTTTCAGAAATGGACCACAAAAGATTATTAGCTGGATAAGGAAGCATAGGGAGGACACTGCAGACATGTCTATTCCAATAAATAAAGAATGGAGGAGAGCTCAACAATTAATGGGTAAAGTGGTCAGAGTACTTTTAGGAAACAAATTTTCCATCACCTGGAACTAGAAGAAGAAACCTGTTCAAAACATGGAACATGATCTCCTAGCTGCATTCAGTTTTAAAATGGATGACCTGGGAATCCATCTGACATGACCCATGCAGGATAGGGAAATATTTTTCTGCTCAAATTTTCTTTCTTGCCAACTGAACAACTGAATGATGCTCCCCTGGAAATCAAACCAAACCAAAAGAAAACAAAAACCTGTGAGCAGTCCTTACAAGCATTTTTCTGTATTTTAAAAACTTTGCAAAAACTTTATCACTGAAATAGTCTGAGAAAATGTGTAAAACACAATAGAAGAAAATGGAGAAAATGCTTTCAGTTTCTCATGATGTAACAGCTTCCTCATGTGCTTGTCATTGCTCCTATTGTCAGCTATGCATGGCCACTCCTCTCTTTCTGTTAGTCATATATGTGTCAGCTCCAGATGACAGCATTCCAGCCTTAATGGAAAATCATAAATAGGTTTTCATTCTTCATCGCAAAAATGTAATCATTATTAACCACACTGGCAGTCATGTGAGTGTAATAAGCATTTTTTTGTAAGAATCTGACGATAATTTTATATTGCATGAATCTCTCTTGGTATAGAACTTTGGTGACAGCTTTGAGAGAATAGATGTTAAAGGTTATTTCCATTGTCTTAGATAATGTTCTGAGCCTTAAATGAAAATTGAGGACTTAATCCTACAGAAGCAGAATTTGTGTCAAAATAACTGGATCTCCCTTCAGTTGTAAGTGGAATCAAGTTCTTTGCTATAATTAATCAAAAAGTTTTCTTAGTGAAAGTTAAGTTTGCTTCAAGAAATCCTAGACAGGATGTTAGAATAATCAAAAGTTCATTGACTACCTCAGAAGAGTGCACAACTAATTACATAATGAGAGCTCACCTCATTTTACCATGCCTAATACTGTAGTGAGGACCATTCATTTTCATGAGATTAAAGTCATGAACAGCTCTGGAAACAATGAGAAGTGGCTTTGTTGCTACCACCTCTAAAATGGGGGATCCTGGGTAATCTTTGTTATATATGTAAGTGAAATTATGTCCACATTCACTTCCTTTTTTTCTTTCTTTTAAGAAAACTCCTTGATGTGAGGAAATGGAGAGAATGAAACAGCATTTGTTTGAAAAAGTGAAGGCAAAAAGCAACGTCAGGATGATGCCTATCTGCTTTGACTCTTCTGAAGGGTAGAGTAGCCCTTACAAATGCACGCATCTGACATTCCAGGGCTACTGAAGGGTTATTCAACAGACTCTAACAAGAATACAAGTGTCAGTGCCAGTAACAGTAACGATCTGGTGGAGACTTCACCAGGAGCTATGCTTTACCCAGTCTTGAGATAATAGACATGCCACCTGCATGTACTACTTCCTTGCATTCTGCCACCATGTCACCAATCTGTGACAACATCATTAGCTCTCTCATTAGCTGACTTCAGATTTATTTCTTTGTGATATCAAAATCCAAATTGCTTGAGAAATACCTGAGTATATACTGTTTAACATAGTATCAAGATTTGTTTAAGTGCTAATAAACATGGATGTAAACACATCGTAAGAGTCTCTTTCAGCACACTTTCTGTGCTCTGGTGAAACTTCCCACCATCTGCTGGAAGCTTGCCTATCTCTTAGAGATAACTGTGAGCAGGGGGAAGGTGCCATACTGAGGGTGTACAGGACGGTGAACTGATGGAAGCCCACAGCCAGTATTGGGTTGCCTGCCGTCAGCCACCAAAGGTGACATTTACTCTACAAGAAAAAATTATGAATGCTGACTAACACCATCCTGACCTTTCTTCAGGATCTCACAGACAGAAATTTAGAGGTTTATTTCAAACATTCAGCTTAAGTAATTGCATATCTTATTTTTTAATTCCAGAGGTCTTGGGAGCAGTGCCAGAGCTGAGCTAGAGGGGATATCATTCATTATCAGTAGTCTAATCTGTGCTGAGAGACAGAGAGTCCTCTAGCACCAGCGTGTCCAAGTTTCAGAGGATGGTATGGCACTTTCAGCTCCTCCATAACTCTAGCAGTATGAGTTTCTTTCATGAAAAAATAAAGCACAATCTGTGGTGTTATATGAACAAAAACTTTAAATTGTGGTGCTTTTGCCGTCCATGTTTGACTGTTGAGTTGCTGTCAGATGGTGCTTCTGCCAGCCATCAATACAAAGAAATCACCAGTTTATCATTAATTTTTATGCTGTATTTTATGATGTCATTGCTGTCATTACCTAGATCTGTGATGTATCCAAATCTCTTTTGAAAAAAAGAAGAAGAAGAAGAAGCAGCAGCAGCCAGTAATTCTATCTTAGGCATTCCATTACTTTGTTCTTTAAGGATATATATGTAGTCAGTGAATAGATCCAACTGCCATGAGCAAAGAGTAGATGCATGCCCTGCCCTGGCCCATTACCCTCTTATTCGTTTCAATACACTGCTTGATTTGTAACTATTACTCCTTGCTCAGCTATTTATTTTATGGTAGCTCATTGCAATTCCTGTCATTGCTTCCTCCTTTTTTTTTTTTTTTCCACTTTACCTGATGCAGCTTGGCATGTTTGATAAGCGTAAGTGGGCCCAACTCAGTCTAGGCATCTGCAAGCACAATGCAACTGACATCAGTCAGAGCCACTAATAACAGGATGGACTTGGCACCACGGATGCATTGCAGGTATCAGTGCAAACCGATGACTTCATTACTGCCTTTATCAGTTTCACCCACCATCACGGTCTCAAAATCCAAAATGTAAAAGTCTTCTTAGTTTCAAGAAACATGAGAATTTCCTTCAGTGTTTTCTACCAGGCTCCACTGCCACTCTAGCTACAGATTTCCATTTCTCTTTGTGTTTTCTGCTCTCATCATGGGACCATATTTGTTCCCATCATCTATGGTCTCAGCACCAGGACTCGAAAAGATGAGGCAGTTTGAGCTGTGCTGTATTATTTATCTCACCTACTTTCCCTTCAGCAAGAAATGACTCTGAACTCTTCCTCCTTCCACTCTCCCCCGAATTTCTTCTCTCCTCTGCTCAGTATTAAGAGTCAGCAGAAATAGAAATTCTAGGTATTCAAGTGGTGGCAGAGATATTTTTTTGTTGTTGTTTTAATTTTGCATTACATATATACGTCTATCTCTGGTAAAACTAAGTTGTTTTTCTAACTGAAAATATGCCCAATATGCTTATCTGTTAATTTTGTATTCGCAAGAAGAATGAAACAAAATGCTACAACTGTTGCCATCATCTAGAAGGAATAAAATTTCAGACTCTGGTCCCAGCTTTATGTATTTGAAATGTAGATTTGAGTATTTCAGTGCTAGCTGGTTTATAGGAAACTCATAGGTAATGCTTCTTGAAAGTGGTGAGGTACATCTATTTGCTTAGTCTCAGAAGAGAGGAAAAATAATTGTAACGCTTACATTTTCAGAGTAGTGGATATACCTTGCTTTTTTTAAAGAATCTTTAAATATTCGATTAATCAGAGTCATCACATAAAAAGTATGAGATTGCCAGTTGTGACTTCCTCTTTTCTCGACAACCTACTCTGCAGCATCCAGAAGAATAAGCTATGTGAAATAATTAAATTGCAGCAATAAATGTTAGGCATCTAACATTGCTTTGTGAAATTAAAATATAAAAGCAGGCATAGGAAATGTAGAAAATGGAGAAAAATCTGCAGATTTTACAAGAGGTGTGGACAGAGAAGGGAGAACAAGGAAATGGTACAGACTTAACAGAACTACTTACGGCTTTTTCTGGGGGTTGTATTTCTTTGTAGTCTTCCTCTACCCTTCTTGACTCTCCCTATAAAGTATTTTATGAGACATGTTAAGTATTTTATGTAAAAAAAAAGTTGTATCATATTGCACTGTAGGTCAAGGCAGGAAGGACACATTGCCTGAATAGCCAGTTAATCTCTTTCATCTTTCTCATGCTGTCATTAATGCTTATCTGTTCCCATAGCTATTGCAAAGTCATCTGTTTTCTCCAGTGGCATAGTGCAATAATAAAATCTTTTGATTTGACATACTAGTTGTTTGTAATGCTAGTTTTATTCATGTTCATTTTGAGATCACATTTGTGCTTTCTTGGTTTTATCATGTTCTCTTGATTCTAGTGTCCGGGAATTCAGGAGCTTAACCTCACTTTTCTGTTATCTTGAGTGAGAGTGGTTTGATGTTGATGTATATATCGTTAAGGGGACTTGTTTTTGATGTTACTGATAAGGGTCCTATGAATTAGTTGGTGTTTCTCTGTGGGGCTTTTTACCCCAGTGATTATCTAATAGTCTGTCTTTTGCGTGTAAAATCTGTTTAGGGTTTCCCTGCTTGTTTTATGTTGAAAGGGGGGTACATCATCAGCTTCCATGTCCTAGTCTGATGGCAGAAGAGACCGTACCTAATTCAGAGTCTTTGACCAGCTCTGTCAGCTTTCTGAACCTGTGCAGGGAATGTATTTCGTCTGTGATGGTAAAAGGTTCATCCAAACATGATTTAAGGCAAACAAAATGGCTAAGGTTATTAGCAGCCACTCTGTTTACACAACTCTCAAATCTCTCTCATTTCAGGATGTCTAAAATTCCTGTCTCACGAAAAACCATGCATTTTATTGCTTTTGAAAAATGTTTCTAATATTGTTTGTTATGTATAAACGAGAAGCAGAACGTATATAAGTGAATTACCCTAAAAGAAACAATACTGCAGCTCTCTATATATCCTTGGGACTTTTTTCATTTCTTCTGAGCCATTGTGAGATGTTACATTTTTGGGGGGGCATCAACGAATTGAGAAACACGACCTGCACCTCATCTATTACTGCTCACTTATTTCTCAGCAGTTATTCCTCAAAGATTCAGGACTGTGTGTGGCACATGTGTGTGTTTATCAATTCACATGTAACTGGAGAAATGCAAAAGAACTGGAGGGTGGGGAGATAAATGCTGACCACACCTCTGCTGAAGGACCTGGAAATGGCCAATGTCTGTCATTGCCAAGGAGTCCAAAGAGAAAAATATCCTCTTTAGTGTATGAATTAAAAAAATTTACACAGAAATAATCTGTTTCCTATTCAAAGTCTTGGAGAGGTCCAGCTGCCAGCAAGGTTATATGAACTGTGCTACAGAGAAATAACATCTGTTTACAGAGAATATTTACGGTTTGCCGCTTCAGGAGTTAGAGACATTGCTACAAGGAGCAGCTTTGTGCATGTGAGATTCACGTAAATTCATGTGAAAGTAATTTGATCGTAAGATTCAAGCCTGAGCTTTAATAGATCCAGCCATTCTAAGCAAACAGAACAAATTAAGGTAAATGAAAATTAATTTTGTATTAGAGGACAAATGTCTGTCAGAGGGAACTTTTGCCACCGTCTTGTTTCTTGACTTGAAAAAGGACTGAAGTTGAATATTTTAAAACAATTTAGTAAAATTCATAAATTTAAAGTGCAAGAGAACTTATTTTTACTTTCTCGGGACTTTGATACTTTTGTTTATCATGACAAACTTAACATGATGTTCATATGGAATTCACTGCAAGCATCAAGTGGATATTTTTCCAGTCTGTGCAGTGGCACTTACCTATCTTATTTTTTAGAATATTATAGAAGATATTCTCTCTGAATGACCAAGAAGAACATTTCTGTACTTTTTTTCCACCTTTCCAGCATCAGAGAAGCATAGCAGCATCAATCATTGCTCCTGTTTTTGATTATATTTTTGGTTGTTCAATTTTAGTATGCAACAAAACAGTAGATGTGGGACTGACTTTTTTCTTTAAGCAAGAATGATTGTGAGAACTTAAGTCAGAGCCCACAGCACATCAAGAGCATCAAAATGAGTTTTACTGCTTTCATTAGGCTTTTACACAGTAGTTTTCTTTGAAGTGACTTAGTGCATAAATGGAGGAGACACTGCCTAGGGTGCCGGGAACTTATGGCATAACAACACACAAGTATGTAATAAGCAAGTCTACCAGAACAGTACTGGATTTGTTTAATACACTATATAATTGCCCACTTGTTCTGTATAGGCCAATATTTTCAGCCTGTCATATGAAGAGAGGGAGACAACAGCCCCTCCAAAAGTCAGTATGTACATCTGAGAGTAATTTCATGCCCATGCTGTTTCTGAAACTGAGCCCATGGGTTGTGTTAGATGGTGACAGAGAGGTGCAAAGCATAAGACTCTAGCCTGTTTCCCTTCCCTTTTCCCCATAACATTCTTTGGCCAATGACTTAGAGGCATCTTTGCTAGGTCTTTGTTGCTGCAAGCATAGCATCTGATAGACTGAGTGGTACTTAAAACATGTCCATCTCTTTGATTTGGAAAAAGAGAAGGAAATTGGCCTCAGCTACATCATGTTATTTGTGGTAGTTATGCTAAGTTTTGTGCTCTTATCGCTGCTTAAAGGGACTAATAAAAGTGTCTTGTTCCACTGCAACATAGCAGCAACCCTATAGGCTTGAGAGTTTGCATTCTTTTTTTTTATGATCATTTAACATAAGGTGAAACTACAAATTAGTGAACTTAGTCTAAAGATTATAATAATATTTTT